ATATAAAACTAATATTCTTGGATTTGAAGTTTATATTTAACTAATTTTAGAACTTTTCGTGCTAGGCAACTGAGGAAGCTCAACATCTAAAAAAGTTGATACAAGACTATATTGCTTCGTTCATCAAAGTAGCAGATAAGGTTGGTGCTTCTAAATTTCTAAAGTTCAAGTACAATTGTTTTCAATAATATGTTTTTGTCCATCTAGTATTGATACTTCGCTTTAATTTTATGATAATATTTTTGTGTCCATCGATTGTTTGTTAAGCATAAGTGCCAACACTAGTTGATCCTATTGATGACAAAATTGATTTTCTTGCATAGTATTAGGCCTTTACTTACACATTAGTTCAATAAGGAGTGCATTAGGGATTCAACCCATCATTCATCATTTAGCTCATAAGTTCTTAAGATGAGAATAACCTTTCATCATAGAACCATTCACATTTAATAATGTTCATTCATAGCATAGTCATCAGTGCCAACACTAGTTGATCCTATTGATGACAAAATTGATTTTCTTGCATAGTATTAGGCCTTTACTTACACATTAGTTCAATAAGGAGTGCATTAGGGATTCAACCCATCATTCATCATATAGCTCACAAGTTCTAAGATGAGAATAACCTTTCATCGTAGAACCATCAACATATAATAATGTTCATTCATAACATAGTCATATTGTGTTCATGAGATTTACCTTCTATTCATCATACCAACACTGCCATAATTATAGCTTAACACTCATGTTCATATCATAGCATACTTGTCAACAATTTAGGGTTGTAGGGAAGAGGAAACATAAATCAATCACTACAATTCATAATCAAGTAGCACCTCTACCATAAGTGGATCAACAATTCAATATATGAACATTCATCAATTTTGACAATCTTCATTCATAGCCTTCAAGGATCACATCAAGATTCAACCCTAATTCAATAATAATCATTCATCATATAGGGAAACATCATAATACCATAATGAATTCCACAATTACATATTAGATTCTCATCCTTCATTCACCATTAAAGTCATACTAGGGTTTAAAGTGAGAAAGAAGG